TCCCTTTTCCTCCAAAAAAGAACAATAAAAAACAAAAAAAGAACAAAAAAGATGCAACTAACATTCCCAGCCCCAGAATATAGGTGTTCTAGTTGCTCCACATTTTTACCATTCCTGGTATTGTCAGTCTTTCTCAGGTAGCCCCAATGATGTTGGGGATTAATAACCAATGATCTTTTTAGTGTTAATTGGCCTCATGACAAATGCTGTTGAGCAGTTTTTTACAAATGTATTGACCACTTTATCACATGTCTATAAAATGTATGGCCCATTGAGCTGTCTTTTTCCTTTTGATTTGTAGGAATTTATTTATTCTGGATATGAGATCTTTGCCAGTTGCAAATACCTTCTCCCATTTCATGGTTCACTTTGACATTCTCTTAATCATGTTGTTTGATAAAATGAAATTCTTTTATTCTCCTTTTAAATATGATTTTTATGAATTTTAGAGAGAAAGAAAGGGAGAAAGAAAGAGATACACATATAGAGAAACATTGATGTGAGAGAGAAACATTGATCAGTTGCCTCCCATATGCACTCTGACCAGGAATCGAACCTGCAACCTGTATGTGTCCTGACCAGGAATTGAACTTGCGACCTTTCAGTGCATGGGATGACGCTCACTCAACTGAACCACACCAGCCAGGGCTGAATATTTTAATTTTAATATATCCTAATGTATCATCATTTATGGTTAGTAATTTGTATGTCCCTTTTAAGAAATCCCTGCTTACGCCAAGTTGAGAATTATATCCTCTTTTCTTCTAGATCAGCACTGTCCATAAAAACATAATGTGAGCCACAAATTTGAACCACATATATAATTTTAAATTTTAAGTAGCCACATTAAAAAAACAGAACAAAACTGGTGGAATTAATATAAACAATCCTATCTAATAAAGAGGGAATATACTAATTGACTGCCCTGCCCTCAAAGATAGCAGCACCCACAGTCAATAAGGGGGGAATATGCTAATTGACTCCCAGGCCCTCAAAGATGGCAGCACCCACAGCCAATAAGGGGGGAATATGCTAATTGACTGCCAGGCCCTCAAATATGGAGACGCCTACAGCCAATAAGGGGGGAATATGCTAATTGAGTGCCATGCCCTCAAAGATGGTGGTGCCCATAGCCACAAGCTGGCGGTGCCCAGTCCCCTCAGCCCCACCGGGGTGGCAGGTGAGCCTGCCTCCGGAGTCCCCCAGTCCCCTCAGCCCCCCAGCTGCCCAGGGTTGGCCCAAGGCTCAGGTAACCAGGTGTGATGGGGCATCGCCTTCCCCTGATCACTGAGTCACCTCCCGCCCCTGAGGGCTCCCGGACTGTGAGAGGGGGCAGGCTAGGCAGAGGGACCCCCCTCCAGTGCATGAATTTTCATGCACCAGGCCTCTAGTATAATTATAAGAAGATATTTTTTCTTCATTCTTTAAAAATAAGATTTCAAATTCCAGTGGATATTTTACACTTACAGCACATCCCATTTTGAACTAGCCACGTTTCAAGTGACTGTAACCACATGTGTCTAATGGCTGCCATGTATCATATCAACCCCACTTAGGAGATTTAAATATCATACCACTTCCATTGAACCCTGCCAACCATGTGTAACTGTTCTCTGTGTGTGGCACGAGGCAGCATACCTAGCAAGGAAAGGAGGTAGCTTTTTATTGATAGAAATAAAAGATCCTCAGGACCCACAGCCAATCTGGGTCCCTTAGGAACTAAAACAGGGCCCCACGATGCTGGCACATTCTAAGTTTCTCATCTCTGCATAGTCTCAATTTATTTCATGGGCATTTTTTCAACATGACAGGGGACAAGGCACCCAGTTGTTCTGGAGTCACATCTCCACAACTTCCAACAGATGAGAAAAGATAAATCTAATTCTGTTTAGAAATAGCCCAGCTCAGGTCACATTCCTGTACCCCACTGTCGGGGAGATGATTATTTTTGGCCAGGCCATTATGTGCCCATATTTATAATCACAGCACAGAAATAATTTATTACCAAGGGGAAGCTACCGTAGTACATATATCATGTCTGTTTCTTCCGTGAGACATGTTTAGGGAACTGGGACTATTCCTTGTGCCCCATAAGCACTAGATAAATATTTGTAAATAGCAGAAGAATAGTCTCCTAACTTGATAGGAGGGTTTAGGACAGTGATGGAGAACCTATGACATGGTCAGAGGTGACACGCGAACTCAGTTTTTTGGTTGATTTTTCTTTTTAAATGGCATTTAAATATATAAAATAAATATAAAAAATATGTCTTTGTTTTACTATGGTTGCAAATATCAAAAAACTTCTATATGTGACACGACACCAGAGTTAAGTTAGGGTTTTTCAAAATGCTGACACGCCGAGCTCAGAAGGTTTGCCATCACTGGTTTAAGAGAAGGCCTAAAGCAGGAGGAGGAATATAAATGCATGTGTTTGGAACTCATTTCTGTGATATACACCTAGTTTATCACTGTTTAGAACCATTGACTATTAAGGTTGGTTAACACTAAAAATAACAGCATTTTCTTTGTAATAGCCATTTTCTGCCAATATCTAGGCATTAGAAGAACTGTACTGGTGTCTTTCATAAATATTTCTCTCTTTTCTGCATCCAGCACGGCTAGAGAGTGGTCCAGTTTTTGAGTAGGGGTGGCTGGGGATTGAGAAAATGAAAGAAAGAGACAGACACAGAGATGGAAGGAGAAAGCTGGGGCCAGATGGGACCACTGTCCTCTGATGGAGAGACAGTGACCCAGAGCCAATACAGCGCCTTTATTTTATACAGCAAAAACCAGGAAGGTTTACTAAAGGTCAAGACAAAGGGGATTATGTGCTTTCTTGGGTGGGCCAGAGTCATATTCATTCCTGGTGCTTGGCTGGATTTAGATAACGAAACCCACCCCCTGGCACCTAGGCTGAAGGTCAAGCTGACAACACTCCTGCCCCTGGCAAGGCGTGTTTCCAGGACGTGGCTCTGCCAATGCCACTGGATTCAGCTGGCAATAATTAAAGAAATGCCCATGTGCCTTCCCAGGCGCTCTCTACAGTCTTTGGTAACTATGTGCCACTTTATGGAATTTTTTAGTGTGACTCTGTCTTATCCAACAGTACAATCCTTTTGGCCATTAGTCTAACTTTAGTGATTTTTCTTCATTAATTTTTTTTTTAAATAGTGCAAAGAAGGAGACTGTTCTTTCATATTGAAAGAACATTTTTTTCCTTCTTTAGAATTTATCTAACTTCCTCTCTGAGTGAGGTCTTAGTCTCAATTTATTAGTTCAGTCATTTAGCACAAAATGTAAAATTACAGTGTGCTCTGTGCTAGTTGGAGCCAGAACGCTGTTCCCTGGGATGCTGAATGTTCTACTTTTAACTCATATTTCTTCAGAGCGAACATGTTCCCCCTTTGGGCAGACAAAGGCCTCCTCTCTCCATTATGTTCATTCATCAGGAGAATTGTGTGAGTGGACGGACTTGGAGGAGGAAAAATAGAAGAAGAATCTTTCCTTAGTTTTCATCTTTTAGGACCTTCCAACAAGATTGAATGAGAAAAACTATCCATTTTTGCTTTTTTAAAACATAACATCTGGGTGAAAGTATTTACTTTGGCTGTAGAAAAAAACCCTGATTTTGGTCTACCCAAAGCAAATTATGTAGGGCCAGGTAGACAATATAAAAGGAAATGATGTAGCCTCAATTATTTGGATGGTAGAGTATTTATTGATGTGGTATAATTTTCTAGGTGCCAACAGCATGAAATAGTTCTTACCTCCTGCACACTGCTCTCCTAGTGGCTGTTTCTTTCTTATGTCATCCCAAACCTCTCCCCACCCCACTTGCTGTGTTTGTTCAGAAATCCCGAAGCATATTTAATAGTGTGCGTAACTGTAGCTTCAGGGTAATGTTAATGTGCAATTCTCATGGAATCCCAGACCACCTAAACCACAAACGTGATATCTGGGATTTCTTTTTTTTTTGGTATTTGTTTTATGGACCCGATTAAGAAAAGTTAGTAGGGTTTAAAAATGTTTTGCTTTTCTTACTGTTTCAAGGTAAACAATTTTATCTTAGCTTATGGTTTTCATTCATTTTAAATTTATAATCATAATATAACAATAGTTCATACACTTTAGAAAAAAACTTTATACATGATGTCATTACCTTCCAAACTATTATTCTGTGTGTTCCTTTTAAAGCTTTTGCTATATGCACATTTTTATGCCATTGTAATTATTATTCAATTTTTAAATTAGTGTTTTTTAGTAATTCAATGAAGTAATGCAAATTCAGTAATGCAAATGAAGAATATTTACCATTTATTTAGTTTAGGGGATCACCTAGGATTAATGAGAACCAGAAAATGACAATTTTCTAGAATCATTGGGATTTTAAAACTTGTCACACTAAGATGATGATTTTAAATACTGGCTTATTATTGGCAGTAAGAATTTTTATCTTTTAATGTTGAGTAAGGTTCATAATTGTTATGTGCATGACAGCAGCCATACAGAATCTTTCTAGCTTTGTAAATATTAGATTTGATTGTGTTGCTAGGAAACCTCTCTCAAAATAAATAAATAAAACACGCAGGAAACAGGTTATAAAATCTAAATTTTGTTTCATAAACAATGCATTCTGGGTTACATACTATTATCAAAACAGTTGCTTGTAACAGAAAAAGGGAACTCCACTATGCTCTTATCATTTCCTGTTTCATTTAACACTTTCTTTCTTGGGTCAAGAGTTTTTGTCCCTCCCTAGGCGTTGCTTTAAATCTCTGGGAAGGTCTGTTATGCATTTACTATTCCTGGATTGGTTAGGATCCCTTTTAAGTGGGTGTGCTTTGCTTTGTTCTCTGACAAGCTTAGGTCATTTGAGCAACATCCTGCTACTGTTAAAAAAAAAAAAAAAAAAAGAGCTGAGTCATGCTGGAGCCTTCTCATGTGGCTGATGCAAACCTGGAGAATTTGCATCATCATTTAGCTGGAGTAAGTTGGTGTGACAGGCAGGAGCTTAAATACCAGCCCATGAGGAAGCTGAGCTGATCTTAATGATAGGGCAGCCGCGGCGGCCACAGCACAGAGGTAGTCGGAGGAGGTGGAGGAGCAGAAGCCCCAAGAACTCACAGGTGCTCCTGAGGGGTAAATAGCTGTGAAGGAGAAAATACACCTCTGAGTTTTTACCTGTGATCACAGTAGCACTGAGAGACAGCCTGGGAGCAAGGAGGAAAAGATTGGTTCCTCACACCAAGAGACATCAAAGTTGAAAGTTTCAGGTTTTGTTTTTTTTTCTTCGTTTTTTTTTTCTTTTTTCCCCTCCTCTGTTTCATTTTTCCCACAGTGTGTCACTACAATGACCAGAAAGCCTGTTGTGGCCACCATCCCCAATGGAGGTTACCTGCAGGGGACTGTTAAAGGGGGGCTGCCATCCCCGGGGGGCAAGGAGCCCCCTGGGCAGGACACAGTGAGGCTGAAGAAGAAAATCACTTTGCTGAGGGGCATCTCCATCATCATTGGCACCATCATTGGATCGGGAATCTTCATCTCTCCTAAGGGCGTGCTCCAGAACACGGGCAGTGTGGGCATGTCTCTGATTGTCTGGACCGCCTGCGGGGTCCTGTCACTGTTTGGTGAGTGCAGCTTCTTCTCAGGGGGTGTGTCTGCGGAGCTGGGCAGTTCTCTCTCTGGGAAAGCAAAGGGTAATGTTTAAGCAGTGAATGAAATGGCCAAGGCTGTCCTCCAAATTTTCTGATTTCTGTTTAGATATGTGGGCTATGCAAACGCAGCGTCCACTATTGACAGGATCCTGAATTCCTTCAGGTCTATTCCTGCAGGCTGTCTTCCCTTTTCCTAAGACAGACTGTTTCCTGACTTTTCCCTGGGGCGACCAAAGCAAAGGCTAACTTTGATGGCCCAGTGAAATCCATGCGAGCTTTCTGTCCCGGGCGGCTGTGCTCCGCTGTGAGTTCGGGGCGGCTCAGCAGCTGGCACGCTGAATGCAACACCTGTGAAGTGAAAGCTGGCGTGGCCTATTTAGACACGGAACTGAGTGTTCAGCAGAAGTTTTACTGACTTTTTTTTTTTTTTTTTGCCAAACAAATGGGTGGCAGTCTTTTCCTTTTAAATTTTTTAACTTCATGTGCTTGTCAATTCCTAGGACTCTTTCAAAAGTCCTTGATGTGGAAAGATGTGTGATGGCACATGACTCAATCATTATCATGAGTGGATGTATTGCAAGGGTCTGAGCATACTACAGATTTTTTTTTTTAACCTTTCATCTCTCACCTATAAATTTTTGCAATATAAACTGTGAAAATGGAATTGGGCATTAGTTTGCTGTGCTTGCTCAGAGCTGTTTTCTTCATTTATAGTCCCCTTGGTCTCTAGAGATGCAGTCCATTTGTCTACCTGTTCACTGAATGGAACTGCTAGGAGAAATATGATTATTAATTTTCCTTCGAGATCAAGATTTCTTCTATCGATTTGACAGTTAATAGTAAAGAAGTAATAAATGTCCCCTTTTGAGGTGAACAAATTACTAGAAAGCTTACATGAGTTCGTTGTAAAGGTGACAAAAACTGGTGAATGGTCCAAAAAAAAAAGTTTCTTTTTTGCTGTGGGGTAAATGGTAAATGTTTAAGATATATTTGCTTTTCTCTGGAAAATTGTGTGTTTTGATTTCAAAAGACACTACTCTGTAAAGGTACTAACTCTGTTATAACTCTAGGACCAAGTAAGTACTAGCTCTTGGTTCTGCACATATCAATCCATTCATTCTTAAGGCCTTTTGATGTTTTAATTCATTGGTTTGAGCATTCAGAGGTTCTCAACCTGTGGATCGCGACCCCTTTGGCGGTCAAACGAACCTTTCACAGGGGTCGCCTAAGACCATCCTGCATATCAGATATCTACATTACGATTCATAACAGTAGCAACATTACAGTTATGAAGTAGCAACGAAAATAATTTTATGGTTGGGTCACAACATGAGGAACTGTATTTAAAGGGCCAGAAGGTTGAGAACCACTGATTTAGAGAACTCAAATTTCTATTATTTGTAACAAGGCATTTATTTATTTTAAAAGAAGAAGGTATTTTGAATAAAACTTGTTAAACCAGAGCCTTAGTACAAACAGACCCATGCAGGAAAAATTTTTAGATTTTTAAAAGGAGGTCGTGGTACTCACATGGTCTGGCATGTACATCTATAGACAAAGAGAAACCTAATGGTTGATCATCTTAACAGGAAGCAAAGCAAAATGTAAAAGGAAAACTCTGGAACTAAAAGTAAAGAATCTATATATTTGGTTTATGATTCTTTTTTAAAGCCAAAGTCAATACATGGATTTTTATATTCTGTTTTGAACTTTTTTTGTGAGCTTGAGAATTTTAAATGAAAATCTCATTTCCCCAGAATTCAATTTAAACGTAGTTTAACCATCCTGGAGCTTCTGCAAAGCATGCACAGGTCTAGGTATTGGTTCTCTGACAATAAATACTGGGGACTTAAGACTCTTTACAATATCTTTTTATATTGGATGCTTTTCTGCACAGCCTATCAACATGGTTTCCAACAGAGTGTAAATTGCAGATAGTTATAGTTAATTATAATTAGGCAAACTCTACCAGTGATCCCCAACTGTCAATCTGCGGACTAGTTACTCTAGATTCTAGAGTCTAGAATCACCTGTGCAAATTTTAAAGTATTAGATTACCTTGGATTCTTTTATTGGAGAGTCTAGACCCGTGTTCGGCAAACTGCGGCTCGCGAGCCACATTCAGCTCTTTGGACCCTTGAGTGTGGCTCTTCCTAAGCCTTAGGAGTACCCTAATTAAGTTAATAACAATGTACCTACCTATATAGTTTAAGTTTAAAAAATTTGGCTCTCAAAAGAAATTTCAGCCCTCACCGGTTTGGCTTAGTGGATAGAGCTTCAGCATGCAGACTGAAAGGTCCCAGGTTCGATTCCCGTCAAGGGCATGTACCTTGGTTGCGGGCACATCCCCAGTTGGGAGTGTGCAGGAGGCAGCTGATTGATGTTTCTCTCTCATCGATGTTTCTAACTCTATCCTTCTCCCTTCCTCTCTGTAAAAAATCAATAAAATCTATTTTTTAAAAAAAGAAATTTTAATCGTTGTACTGTTGATATTTGGCTCTGTTGACTAATCAGTTTGCCGACCACTGGTCTAGATTCTCTTGGTTAGAGTATGGGTCTGGGATATGACCCTAGAATCTGGTTTTTTGTTTGTATTTGAATAGAAAATTCCTCCTGGGTAATTCTGATAAAACGCTAGGCTCAGGAATAGGATAAGTGATATTAAGATTTCACTGAGTATCGAAATTCTATTCATGTTAGACAGTTGTACCTAAAGTCTTGCTGACTATTGATAATTTCCCATACTTTTAGCCTCTGAAGTAGCTCAAGCAAAAATCAAGTGTTACATTTGAATACTTAGCAGTATGGTAGGACTTTTTACATCACAACAAGATATATTTTCCATTTTCCTGATAAGTAATTGTTCAAATTAATGGATATAGCTGTTTTTCAAGAGGTACTGATTCCAAGTGTGAGACCCAGTCATGTCCTTGGCACCTATTATCACATTGATACACAAAACATGACACTGAAATTTTAGGAGGTTACATAACTTACTTAAGCCCATGTGAATTGTATTGCTAAATGTTAAAATTTGGTTCACATGAATTTTATCAAATGTAATAAATACAACTTATAGCATCTCTTTTTTAAAAGTATGTTGTTTCAACTACTCAGAAGTATATACTTTTAAATCATCCAGGAAAATGTTTTTCATAAATAGAATATCTGAATTAAATTCATTTTGTTGCACGAAAGACATATCCTACAAGATAATTAAAGCTTTTCAAGACCTAGAATTTATACTTTTCTGAAAAACAGATAAATCTTCTTTTATTATTTACTGGTAAGAGAGAGAGAGAGAGAGATAAATTTTGTTCCATTTATTTATGCATTCATTGGTTGATTCTTGCTTGTCCTTGACCTTGGATCAAACTCAGTACCTTGGCATATCAGGATGATGTTCTAACCAACTGAACTACTGGGCCAACGCTAGATAAATCTTCTTTATTTTGATGTAGCACAGACATATTTATTAAAAGGATTTTCAATAGCATGAGGTCAGTTTGGGATAACATCTTAGTGTGAAGTTATGCTTTAAAAATAGGTTACTATTATTGGCATCGATCTCTTCTTTTTCCCTTGTTCTCAGGTTTGTGATTCAAAATTCTTAATAATATGATATTGTTTTAGAAGTTTGTCTTTACCATTTCAAATAAATTTACACTGTTCGAACAGAATGAACTAGATATCAAATTTAAGGAAGTTACAAGAAGAATTCGGTGGCTCTCTAGCAATTAGATGACCATAATTTGTCTTAAAATAGGATGTCATTTATACCAAAGCATGTAATAATATTCCATGCAATATAAACATTGTTGTTGTAACTCTGTGGCAGAATGACTTGGTGATATTTATCTTAGTACCTGTTTATTATAAATATTTCACAGGAGCCATGTCCTATGCTGAATTGGGAACAAGTATAAAGAAATCTGGTGGTCATTACACATATATTCTGGAAGTCTTTGGCCCATTACCAGCTTTTGTACGAGTTTGGGTGGAACTGCTCATAATCCGGTAAGTGCATAAGTAGGAAAAAAAAATAAGGAAAAATAAACCTATTCATTACACCCTTCTTTGAATTACCATGATTATTTTAACCAAATTAAAACATGCATGCCATGTGACTATACTGTAAATATGTCTACTTTAGGACACAAAGTCTGTGATGAAATACCTTTTCTCAATTAATGTTTTACATGCAGTTTTGCCACAGACAGTAGTTTGCCAACCATGCCAAACTTTTTAGCAGCTGCTTTTCTTTAATCTTCAATTATTCCTTATGACATTTCAGGCAAGATGTTAACCTGAAAGGACATGAAGCATCAAAATCCACCTGGATAGCCATAGTCAGTTTGGCTCAGTGGATAGAGCGTTAGCCCACAGACTGAAGGGTCCTGGATTCGATTCTAGTCTATGTCACGTACCCCAGTTGCAGGCTCAGTCTTGGTTGGGGCCATGCAGAAGGCAACAAATTAATGTGTCTTGCTCACATCGATATTTCTCTCTCTGTGTGTCTCCCCTCCCTTCCAATCTCTCTAAAAATCAATGGAAAAATATCCTCAGGTGAGGATTAACAAAAAAGTCCAGGTTGATAAATCACATCTTTTGACCAGCCAGACAAAATGAAGCCCTAGGCTAGAAACTGGCGTTGTCATTCTTGTGGATTACACCACTAAGGCATTTCACTTTCCTCAGTTTTTGTGACTAGGAACATTCCGTGCTTCTTCACAACTTGGTGTGTCACCAAGTTTAAGGCTTTACAAAGAAATAAGACTTTACTCGACACAAATGACTCACATCCTCAAGTTAAACACATCAGTGGACTACAGTTGCGAAAATCTTTTTTGACTTTACTCTTGTAGCACTGTGTTCCTCTTCCCGAGACTCTTGGTTCAGAATCAAGCCCAGTTGTGCCAAGTCACCCTGACTAGAAAGTTCCTTTCAACTTCATGGGAAACTTATGATGTCATTTAAAGTATCCCAACCCCTTAAGTTTAATTGCTTTCAGAAAACACGACCTGCACATTCTGATCACAGAGCTTAACAGAAATAACTAGGAAAACTTGTTCTTCCTGTAAACTTACCAGTAACACACACCTGAGAGCTCATGAGCTTTTATCGTATCTAAGTGGCAAAGACAGCACTGATTTATAAGCATTGACTTAACACTAGTCTTGATTTTTATAGTCTTAGGAGTCTCTTTTTTAACAAAGACCTTCAGAGTGGAATTTACTTCTTTGATAAGTCTGTTCTCATTTTAAACAATTCTACTTCATTTAAAACTTGTTATAATGAAAAAGAACTACTTTGTTCTTTTTATAAAATCTGGGATTTTCCCAGAATGTGCCTTCCACTCTTTTCTGGTGATTTAAATCTTACTCCTCAAAGGTCAACTTATATTCCGTCTTTTTCACAGTTAATTTCCTGTTCACCCTAGTTAACGGTCTTTCTTCTCTAATTCTTGTGAAACATGCAGTCTCTGCTTCTCCTTTGACGCTGAACATACTATCTGTATTCTTACTTCATATTTTAGAAGTCTGTGTTCTGGTTCCCTGTTAAAATTGCCAGTAATCATCTGTAAAAGGTAGATTTAAAGAAAAGAAATATCACACATCACTACAAAGCAGGGGCCATTAGATTGAATTCACACATTCACCATATAGTCAATATTTATTGGGTTTCTATTACATGATAGACATTATACTGAACACTGGGGATAAAATAGTGATTAAGATGGACACAGTTTTATATGCATGGAGCTCAGGGTCAGAGAGGGAAATAGTTATCAATCAAGAAATCACATAAGTGAATGTAAAGTTGCTACTATGATAAGCACTGTGAAAAGGAAGCCAGGGGGTTCACTAAGAGGGTATACCAGGGAGATCTCACACAATCAGAGGACTGGAGGAAGATTGAACTAGCTCTGAGTTATAAAAAACTGTCAAAGAGTTGCAGGGGCTCCAGGCAAAGGGTATGAGGATCCTTCTAGTGGGAAGAAGCAAACTGAAAGAAAAAGGGAAAGTTTACACTAGCTGGAGCCTGGAAATGAAGGATTTTTGCATATCTGGAGCATGCTTTGAAAGCACTAAAATGACATGATCAGATTTTAATTTACACATCAAAAGACTTATAAATGATGGCGAACAGGAAAAAGAGTCCTGTTTTGGAGTAGAAAGGGGGTCTCCAGGAAAAGAAGGATGTCAGAGTTGTAGTGCTGTCTGGTGCCAGCAGGCCACACAGCCTACTCTAGGGCAGTGATGGCGAACCTTTTGAGCTCGGTGTGTCAGCATTTTGAAAAACCCTAACTTAACTCTGGTGCTGTGTCACATATAGAAATTTTTTGATATTTACAACCATAGTAAAACAAAGACATATTTTTGATATTTATGTTATATATTTAAATGCCATTTAACAAAGAAAAATCAACCAAAAAAATGAGTTCGCGTGTCACCTCTGACACACATGTCAGAGGTTCGCCATCACTGGTCTAGGGACTGGGTGTGGGTATTGGGTGACCACAGGAAAGAGGAGAAGCTGGAAGGGAAAATTGAGAAATTAGATAACCCCATGGCTTCTCTGTGTATACAAAGAATGAATATATATATATATATATATATATATATATATATATATATTTAAACTAAAAAAGACATGTATAATTTTAAGAGAAATATTTGAAGAATTAAAAATGAAAGGGCCTATTACCTATTTTGCTATATACCTATACATATTTCATTTTCTTATTTCACACATATTTTCTCACTTGTGTAAAATTACAAGAGTATTTCTATTTTTCAGCTTATACTTTGAATCTAAATATTTCCATGGAATTATGGAATTAAGAATAATCGCTTGGCTCTTCAAGTTTTTGTCCATACTGGAAAAGTAATAATAGTGTCAAGGATGTAGGCATATATTTACAATAAACACTAATTTTTTGTTGAGTTTTGTGTTCATTTTCCTGACCATGCCCCATCCCATTAGATATGCACTATTAACACATTCTTTCTGTGGCTTTAGTGAGAAAGAAGCCTGCTTTTGGTGAAGCTCAGCTCTGTCAGGATCTCGAGTAATAAACTAGACTTTTAAGGGGGAAAAGGGCAAATATGGGAGAACAGAGCCTTGCTCACAAAGAAATGGGAAGTTTAAAACTATCCACCAAAGTTATTGACAAAATTTCACTTGAAATGTTGGTGACAACCTAATCAAATATGTAGTTCTGAAAATTATAAACTCTCATGTTTAACATGTTCCATGTGCTTGAATAAAAATACCTCATAACAGAAAAAGTTTATTGAAGATGCTATTTTTTTCTGTAGTAACCTAAATATATATGTTTTCTAGCCCTGCCAGCACTGCTGTGATATCTCTGGCATTTGGACACTACTTCCTGGAACCATTTTTTATTCATTGTGAAATTCCTAAACTTGCAATCCAGCTCATTACAGCTGTGGGCTTAAGTGAGTATGAATATGAAATACAAAAACACACCACAAAAATGATTGGAGATAGTTCTTCAGACTTTTTACATGGTCAAACCTACTTCCTACATCATGTTCTTTTTTTGCTTATAGTTCCTTGCCAAATTTGTGTTGGAAAAGAATAGTATTTGGAGAGATACCCCATTATGTTACATGTCAGTTTTCCATTGGCGCAATATCCAGAATAGCTAATCGTTTAAAAGGCAAAGAAAAACCACCTTGTTGGTAAAATAGAAATTGGTTACATGGGGAGGAAAAACAATTACAGATGAAAACCAAATTATTGTTTTTTTAAATATATATTTTATTGATTTCATAGAGGAAGGGAGAAGGAGAGAGAGAAGCATCAGTGATGAGAGAGAATCATTGATTGGCTGCTTCCTGCACACCCCACATTGGGGATAGAGCCTGCAACATGGGCATGTGCCCTGGCTGGTAATTGAACCATGACCTCCTGATTCTTAGGTCAACACTCAACCACTGAGCCACTGCCAGCAGGGGGAAACCCAATTATTTTATAGATTTTTAATATTAGAAATTCTCCTTCCTCAGTGATAAAACATGCTGAATTATAACTCATTTATCCTCATGGAGTGATGTGTGTGTGTTGGGTGTGTATGTTGTGTTCATACATTTTATGGTGTTAGCAGCTGTCTCAGTGTTATGGGTTTAGTTGCCCATTGGTAATCACGATGAGTCTTCTTTCTATATTTGATTATTAGTAGCATTTCTTAGCTAGGAGTTTTCTTTACAATCTCCAAACTAGTAACTTGCTCATTTTTATCAATGGGCACAGGTTGTAGAAAATTTATAGAAACAAATAAAAAAAGAGGATTTTGCACAACATTACGTAAGAGATATAAAAGCCAAGTATGACTAAGTTTTTAGAAGGGTGTAGCTTCCAAACCTTTGACTCTTACTGGAAACGATAACTTAATTCTAGATGCTAATTGACTCAAACTATTTTAAGAATCAACATTTGATTATTTAAATTACTCAGAAATAGAAAGCTACACAGAAATAACTGAATTATATACTCATAGAATTTTTAGTTATGTGTAGCGCAGGTATTTCGATGGAACAATGAGGAGGATGAGGACGATGCACATTTGGTAGCACAGAGGTGAGTGGTTAGTTTTCAGGAAAGAGGAGTCACACATAAAAATGTGGTGGTGGCTTTAGCTCAGGCTCTGGAGGCCAGCAACCAGGAATTGAAACTTCATGTCTCAACTGCTTAGTTGTGTGGTTTGGGCCTAAAAATTAAACCACTTTAAGCATCAGTTTTATTTATTGGTAAAACACCTGTGAAAAGATCATTTATCTTGAATGGCTGTAGAAAGATGAAGCTATGTTAAATGTTGAAGGCCTTTAGCAGAGCTGCCCATAGAAAATTCTTGATAAATCTGGTATTCCACTATGGGACACACTAAAAGCCAATGTTGTGCCCATTCTATTCTGGTCTCTGGATTGACTGAGGCAGAATCATACTACAATTATTATGTTTGAAAAGAGAAAGGTAAGGGTAGTGTGTTTGAGGGCTCTATAAATTGCCAATAGAAGTTACTAATTAAAAACCATAACTAGCAAACTTTAAATACATTCTATGTAAACATTTACAAATCCACAAATATTGCCCACTTTGGCCTGGAAATAAGCTGGACAAATGTTAATACATTACTATTTTGGGAAGCCTAGGTGACTATTTTCTTATATTTACTCAAATTCTATTTACTCAATTCTTTACTCAAATTCTTATTTACTCAAATTCTATTAAATAATTTTAAGGGAAAATTTGAATTTTAGGGAAGTTAATGGTAACCATACAAATTAAAATTTTAAAGCAATTATATGTAAGGATAACTAAGCATGTTATAGTTTGCAAAACTTCTTTATGTAGTAGAGATTGGTGACCGAATAGTTAACAAAGAGTCAGTAAATCTTGGATGGAGCTAGGCATTCCCTTCTATTTCTGCAATTAGTTATAACATTTGTTTACAAATTCTGATGTTCTTTTAGAAGCTTGAAATTTTGAGGAAATGTGTTCCTATAATAAGAAGCATTAAAAGAGAAAAAAAAACAAACACCCAGATATTCTCATGACTCAGTGGGAGTTAATGTAAGTCAGTGGCTAATTGGGAAGAATTTAGCTTTAATGGAGCAACGGGAACTGGAGATGGCAATAGAGAAGGAGAAATTCACCTGGGGCAAATTTCTCACAGTCTGCATTATTCAAAGAAAGATAGGTGACTCTCTGCTTGCTGGGGGTGGAAGATTAGTGAGAAGTAGAAAGTAGAGTTTAATTGTATGAACTGCTTCTTCTATTCCCTGGAGAAGGAAATCATTTGTGGTATTTCAATATAGAAGAGCAAACCTGAAGGGTTGTGTTATAATCCAATCACAGGAAAAAAATGAATTTCAAGTTTTTTGAAATGTTAGCCCACCATTTAAGAAATGAGAGTGGGGTGGGGATGGAGAGTTACTGAATGCTAATTTACTCCTCATCCCCCTTTAAAAAGTACAGAGGTCCCTGACTTAACAGTGGTTCGACTTATGATTTTTATTTTTTTAAATATGTTTTTATTGATTTCAGAGAGGAAGGGAGAGGGAGAGAGAAATAGAAACATCAATGATGAGAGAGAATCATTGATCGGCTGCCTCCTGCATGCCCCCAACTGGGGATTGAGCCCCAAACCCAGGCATGTGCCCTTGACCATATTGGAACATGGGACTATTCAGTCTATAGGCCAGTGCTCTATCCATGGAGCTAAACCGGCCAGGGAGACTTACAATTTTTAGACTTTATGATGATACTATAATGATTCACACTGTGGACGAAAGGGGCCACATGCTAACCTGACTAGCTCAGGGAAGGCCTGTGTGGCAGTCTTGCAAACTCAGAGACCTAAAGTAACCACAAAGGATGGTCTGAAATTAAACTTTAACTAAAAGCAGTTATGGTGGGTAGTTACATCCTAGGCCAGTATCCTCACTGACAAGGTCAGCCTTTACCTTAACTGAGCCTATCTGTCTTTTTGCATCTATGATGACATATCCTTGAAATGTCTGGGTGACTTGTAACTTCCCTTTTTTCTGGACCCCTTGGGGCACAACCAAATGTGCCTGGGCACCAGGACAGATACCACAAATTCCTTCATTGTTATCATGTTCATTGTTCCTGTACCCACCTAAGTATGTGTCTATCATTTTATTTTTTATCCAATCCCAGAGGTTTCCCCACTTTGCTTTCTCCTGCCTCTCTAGTCTATCACCAGTGGATTGCGCGTAACTCACCTACATCCCTTTCCTTTGATTGCAATGTATAAATACAGATGTAACCCGCCATTCTCGGGAGCATTATCTCAATTCATTGAGGTTCTGCTTCCTGGCATATGTCGACAGTTTGGCTCAAACAAACTCACAAAAATTCTTTACAGGTTGCAATGTTTTTTTTATGTTAACATTACTAAGTAGAACCCAAACTTCAAATTTTGATTTTAATATTTTTTTACTATATTCTGAGCATATTTAAGGTAGGCTTGGCTAAGCTATGATGTTCAGGAAGTTAGCTGTATGAAATGCATTTTCGACTTAGAATATTTTCATCTCACAAAGGATTTATCTGGTTGTAACCCTATGGTAAATACAGGAGCATCTGGGCTCTAGTTCATTTCTGTCAAATTAATAAGGATGAGAAGCTGTGTTTATTCAAAGTCCTCTCCCTTGGGGTAAACATGCGAGTCACATGGAAGTGTAACTGGGAAATCTTATATTCAAGTTTGGCATTCCCCTCTTTCCCAATACTGACATTACTCCCTTTACCTTCGGTGGAACCCCACGAATTTTCACTGTTTTTGTAGTTTCAAGAAGCACTGATATGCATATGTTGAATATTTAAAATGATATTTTGTCTGTTGTTCTGGTCTCATGAAACTAAATCCTAAATAAGCATACACTCTAAAGGAAGAATAATATAATAAAAATATTTTTTCAAAATGTGAGATCTACTCCCAGATCCAACCCTCACAACCTCTCTGAGTTTTTGAGTTTAGTTTATGTAGGTGAGTAGACAGCCCTGCCCAGCTTCTCATGCCTGTGAGAATAATTAGGGGAAGCAAACAAATTAAAAATAACATGTGATTGCATTGTAAGAAAAAATTAGCCAGTTCTACAAATGCATTACTGTATGTTCCTTTCTAAAACTGTATTTTCCTGGCATCAGTGACTTACATGAAAGAAAATCTAGGACCAGTTCTGTGCTAGCATTTCTAATATAGCACGTGGAGTGGATTTGTTTCATCTTCTGAAGTCTGGCTGTACTTATTCCTTTTCTACCATAACTAAATTACCAAGACAGCCAAGTCTTAGGTAGATATGCATAGTATTTAAATCAGGGGTACTCAAACTACGGCCCGCGGGCCACATGCAAATACAAATATTGTATTTGTTCCCGTTTTGTTTTTTTACTTCAAAATAAGATATGTGCAGTGTGCATCGGAATTTGTTCATAGTTTTTTTTTAAACTATAGTCCGGCCCTCCAACGGTCTGAGGGACAGTGAACTGACCCCCTGTTTAAAAAGTTTGAGGACCCCTGATTTAAATACACAAGTACTGCAGACAACAACCATTTTCTTCAGGAGGATAACAATGAAATGTGTCACTGAAGTGTCCCGAAATCCCAGTCAAGACAAATATGAACTTTAGCAGAGAGGGGGAGTCACCAGAAGTTTGGAAGAACCAGGTGTTCCAGCGAGATCATATTCTTTGAGCTACTTCCTCCTTGTTACCTAGGAACTAGTGGCAAAAGTGAGGACTCTGAAGGCAGCCTACCTTGGCTCCAATCCTATCTTCACACTTACCTATGTGAACATAGGCATGTTCAATAATGTCCTGAGTCTTATCTGAAAAATAAGGCCAGTGATGGTAACCACATCATAGAGAGGTGAAGATTAAATAACATATCCGTGTCAAGTCTTTGCAC